TCCACTGGTGTATTATTGATAAGTAGTTGAGCGTCTCTAACTTTATTTTTGCTGATGATCATAAATTTAGTTTTTGTTATATTTACTATTTACTTAAGTCCAAATCTTTCACTTACTTCATTTACTTTGTCTATTAGTTGCTGTAAACTGTTCAAACTGTCTGCAAAAATAACGGTGTCGTCTGCATAACGGATGTTGTTTAGGCGTTCTCCATTTAGAAGTATTCCATGTTCTCATTTTTCCAAGGCTTCACTAAATATTTCGCTCTGAACATAGATTAAATAATATAGGTGAAAGTATGCAATCTTGTCTAACGCCTCGTAGAATCTGGATCATTTCCGTTGGTTCACCTCCAAAATTCGTTCTTATTGTGGCTGATTGATTCCAGTATAGATTTTGTATTATACGCCGATCTTTATCATCCATTTGGGCTTTTGTTAGAATATCCATCATTTTTTGGTGTTGAACTGTACCAAATGCTTTTTGGTAGTCCACAAAGCAGGTGTAAATATCGCAAGTCATATCTCTGCATCTTGATTTGACCTTATAACCAGCAAAATATTAAAAAAAAAACTCCCAAGAAAAGTTGTCGTCTTAATAACCATTATTTTTAATAACCTCCTGAGACTACGCTATTGTCCAGTTCAATGGAAGCATGCACAAATTACAACGATACCTAAACCTGGTAAACCTCTAACTGACGCCAGTTCGTACAGACCAATAAGTCTTCTTCCGACTTTATCAAAAGTCTTCGAAAGGTTAATCCTTAACAGAATAGAAACAATAATAGCTATAGAAAAACTTATCCCAGATGATCAGTCTGGTTTTCGCTCAAATCACTCAACCATACCAGAGTGCCACAGATTAGTCAACAAAATAAAAGAGTGACTAGAAGGGAAACAAATCTGTCTATCAGCATTCCTCGATATACAGCAAGCATTTGACAAAGTGTGGCACGTGGCTCTCCTCTTTAAAATAAAAACTCAGCTAACTGACCAAATCTACCTCCTCCTTAAATCATACTTGTCGACAGATACTTCCAAGTAAAATACGAAGGTTCTCTATCCAACTATCATCAAATAAAATCCGTAGTACCTCAAAGCAGTGTACTTGGCCCATTCCTTTACCAAATCTTCACTGCTGATATTCCTATTAGCTAAATTACACTAATGGCAACATTTGCGGATGACACCGGTATACTAGCATCAGACATCAACCATTTGCATTTAACACTTGCATTTAACAAATTGCAAAATCATCTCCATGAACTAGAAGACTGGTTTGAATGCTGGAAAATAAACGTCAACACAAACAAGTCTTGTCAAGTAAATTTCACAAATCAAAGAATTAGATGTTCACAACTACACCTAAATAATTCACCTATACCAATAAAAAAGAAGTAAAGTACTTGGGCCTTCATCTAGACGAAAAACTTACTTGGAAATCACATATCGCAGCTAAACGACGACACCTCGACCTAAAATTTAAAAATATGAGCTGGCTAATCAACATAATCAAGGAAGAAGATCTGTTGGTCGAAGGCAGAACTCATGGTTAAAGAATCTACGTGATTGGTACCAATGCAGATCGATTGATTTGTTTATAGCAGCAAGTTCTAAAATAAAAATAGCCATTATGATTGCCAACCTTCGTATGGAGACGGCACTCTAAGAAGAAGAATCAACAGAAGATCGCAAATTTCATTAGAAAACAAACTGACCATATATAAAACAATACTCAAACCAGTGTGGATATTTGGAATTGAGCTGTGGGCTGTAACAAACCATCCAACACCAAAATACTACAGACATTCCAGTCAAAAACTATTCGTATGTTAGCTAAAGCCCTATGGTATGTGTCAAACCAAACCTTTCATGCCGACCTCAAAATCCCCTTTATCAATGATGTGATTGCTGACCACTCCAGACGATACATGAATCGCAGCGCAGACCATCCAAACCATCTCATAGACGAATTATTCAACCCCCACTGGTTGACAGACGTCTAAAAAGACTTAGCCAGAAGACCTAGCTGCTAGGTAAATTCCAGAGAGTCTTTAATGAACGACACCTGTAACAAGTCAAGAACATACATAATATTTACTTTTTACTGTATTGAAGTAGATTATAAATTAGCGATAAATAAATAAATAAAATAATGTTAATATTTTCAAGCATTCATCAGCAAATGTGGATGTAGTTTGCGATGGATATACGCGTTTATTAACTCTTGGAGTTAACGAACAAATTAAATCTTTAAAGAAACGCGGTTTTGTGCTATTTGTTGTTATAAAAGTGCAATACTAACCCTGATATATTAACAAATGCTTAATAATGCCAACACACGTGTACAATGATTCTTATAACCTATCTTATGGAGTCTTGCAACACAACTGCGAAATCCGTTAAAATTTGTCAGATTTGACATTAGTCAGCGGCTGGATTATGTTTGTAATGTTACCATATCCATGATTTATAAAAGAAAACTATGCGTCTAATACTGAAAAAATTCATTGCGGTTGGTGATAGGAAATGGTCGGTAAAGAGTACAGTTACCTTATGACAGCTTAGTTTTATTTTTTGACATTAGTTTGTTTTGTTGTTAGAAAAAGGTTAACGTATATGAATAATTTTACTTAAAAAGATATTTCTATATTTGTATTTCTACCGCAGATTATAGCCCAGTAATATTTTCAAGCATTCATCAGCAAATGTGGATGTAGTTTGCGATGGATATACGCGTTTATTAACTCTTGGAGTTAACGAACAAATTAAATCTTTAAAGAAACGCGGTTTTGTGCTATTTGTTGTTATAAAAAGTGCAATACTAACCCTGATATATTAACAAATGCTTAATAATGCCAACACACGTGTACAATGATTCTTATAACCTGTCTTATGGAGTCTTGCAACACAACTGCGAAATCCGTTAAAATTTGTCAGATTTGACATTAGTCAGCGGCTGGATTATGTTTGTAATGTTACCATATCCATGATTTATAAAAGAAAACTATGCGTCTAATACTGAAAAAATTCATTGCGGTTGGTGATAGGAAATGGTCGGTAAAGAGTACAGTTACCTTATGACAGCTTAGTTTTATTTTTTGACATTAGTTTGTTTTGTTGTTAGAAAAAGGTTAACGTATATGAATAATTTTACTTAAAAAGATATTTCTATATTTGTATTTCTACCGCAGATTATAGCCCAGTAACATTTGTAAATATTGTTGTATTATAGCATCTCCAACTCCTAGAGTTTGTAAACGGCTAGGACATAGTAAGTGTTTCTCTTTGTAAATCTTTGTAACTATTTATATAGTAATTATTTTTATATTATCTGTATATGTAACTGTTTTTGGTGAGACAGTAATACATGTTTAATTTTTTTTCTCTAAACCATATATATTTTAGAAAAGTCTCCTAACCTATCTTTTGTGTTTCTCTTTTAGGAAGCAAAAGCCTTTTTCCTTCATCCAGCAGGAAGTTTCCTTGAAGCGGAGTCCCATTTTAAATAGCTAGAGATCCTTCCTGTTATTTTGTTTGTTCTTTTGTACAGAAGATTCATATAAGTACCCTTGTGTTTTATTTTTGTAGTTGCCCTATCCAAATGCCTTGCTATTCAACTTATCCACGACTCCAGCTCTCCAAATAAACCCGGAGTGCCGTTCGTACAAGTTTCAATTTGTTTTGCTTGACCTATCTCCACCTTAATAGTTTCTGTTCCCAAATTTTCAACCCCCTATAATAATACCCTATTTAGTAGGCAAATATTTCGTTACAACCTTAGGTTTAGTACTCCCCGTATAGATATGTGTGTTCCCGATGCATTGAGTTTGCAGAAAAAATTAAAAGATCTATAGATGAAAACGAGAAAAAAAATTGATTGTTGAAAGAAAAATTCATAAGATAAGGGCGAATGCATTTTTTGAGTTGCTTAAAGAGTCACGAGATGATTTGATAACACTAACTTTCGATTGTCAAAAAAACCTTGTACTTGCTAAGGTCCCCGACCAAAGTGCCTACTACTCTAGACAACTGTATTTGTATAATCTATGAACTGCGTATTAGGCACTTCATAGTGCCTAATATGACCTATTAGGCCATCTGCCATTAGGCTAATGGCAGATGGCTGCAATGGCCAAAATAAGAATACTGCTCTAATTGAAATGTGTTGCAAATGGCTTTCATCAAGAGCACCAAAACATGTACAAAACATCGACGTAATTTTTCCGGTGGTAGACCATTCTTTCTTGCCAACTGATAGGGTCTTTAGTAATATTGAAAAAGATATTAAAAAACTGGAAGTTTTATCGCACCCAATAACGTATTTGGAATTGTTTTCAAATATAGCTACAGTTACTTACTTAAGGCGGAAACTATGACTTTAACCAAGACCACGGCTTCGAAACTGAGAGTGGCACAGAGACGAATGGAACGGTCTATGCTGGGAGTGACGTTGAGGGACCGAATAAGAAACGAAGATCTGCGAAGAAGGACGAGTATTACTAATGTTGTGGAACGCATAGCGGAACTAAAATGGAACTGGGCAGGCCATGTAGCGAGAATGCACGATTCACGATGGACGAGCAAAATTACAAATTGGAGGCCAAGAGCAGACAAACGCAGTAGAGGAAGACCACCTACACGTTGGGCCGACGACATCAGGCGTATCACTAAAAATTGGCAACAAAGAGCACAAAATCGTGAGGAATGGAGGAGTTTAAGGGAGGCCTATGTCCAGCAGTGGACGTGATAAATAGAGGCTGGATGATGATAATGATGACTTACTTAAGGCAAAATTGCAAAGTGTTTAATTGGAAAGAAACAGTTTTGTTTCGTGTTTTTAGACCCACTGGTACATGTCATTTTTCTTTTAAAAATACAAAGCGCTTTTTCCTAAGAAAATGCAAGACTGGAAATATTACCATTAGAAGAGAAATTAATTACAGAAATGATTTACAAACATTTAAAAGTGTTTTAAAGAAAGGTTTTACGGTCGATATGAGTAACCCCGTTATTGTAGAAAGTGGTCTGCAAAAAGTAAATTCACTTAAGCTTAAAGATGTTGATAAACTTCTCACCAAGCACTTTGGATATACTTGGTAATTATTTTATTTTATGGACGATCTCGAGTTTTTTTGAAGATATCATCTTCAATAATAATTAACTAAAGCAACTAGCAGTTCAGAAAGGAAGTGCTGATGCATTTCCAGATAGTGAGAGGAAGGTGAGTTTTTTAAAAAACTTCCTATTTTAACATAATTATAATATTTTGGTTCTTAAATTACATAATTTTGAAAAAAAAGTGTTGCTGTTTTATTTTTATGAGCTGTCATAAATAAAATTATGTGTTAAACTCTACAAGGTATCATAAAAACCTTTTATTATGTCGAATTTTAGTATCAAAACCGGCAATATACACCCTTTAGTATCAAATCTGGCATTTCTTCATTAATTTTCTCTCATTAGTTTTTTTAACAGGTTTACCTTTGACGCTTATAAGAGTCACTGTGTATTTTGCTCGGGTGCCGCCGTCGCTTATAAGCGTTCGGTACGTATTTATATAGAAATGTAACCATTAGCTCCCAGACTATTAACATTATTATTCATTGAACTTCAAGGAATAGCAAGCTCAGCAATTGCAAAACAACGGACAATAAACTTGATTTTTCAATTTTGTAATTTAATCATTCCATTATCATTCTCTGATCAATGCGTTTCATTTTTGTAATTAAGAATTTTTATTGTTTAATTTTTGAAGTAAAAACTTAGTTGTACATTTTAAAAATAAAATCTTTTTTAAAAGACATTCTGAAAGTGCGTAAATTTATCTGGCGCTGCGAACAGGATACAGCTCGTACAAGAAACATAAGCAGTTTCCTTGGTCAACGAAGTTGTTAGACGAGAAATCCGAACCGGAAAAGAAAAGATTATGTGCAGGACATCCCAACAGATCATCCTACTGTAAGTACATTTTCCTTTTCATTCCTATTTTTGATTTATGAGCACTTTCATTGATATTTCGCAAGACTCTGTTAATAATTTAAATACTTTGCTTGAAAATCTCACATTGAATACTGAAATTGATTCTAACACCCGTATTAACGCCGATCCCGATTTCACTTAACAAATCCCTACTATTATTATCACAGAAGTTGAAATGCCGTTTCTAAATGACGATATTACTAGCCTATGTGCTACTTTGCCGGAATTTTCCACCGGAGATAATTTATCTACCTTTTTAAAATCGGTCGATAACTTAATTACATTCCTGGTAGGCCAACAGCTTACAGCTTCGCAAGATTTTATCTTAAACTCTAATATTATTGCTCGTATCAAAGGCGAACCGCGGGATTTTCTTAATTATTCAAACAAAACAGCTTGGGCTGAAGTAAGGCCAGCGCTTTTAGCTAAGTACGGAGACAGACGCTCCGAAGATATCTTAGTTACTCAACTTTCAACGACTGTCCAGAAAAATCACGAATCTTATGATCAATACCACCAGAGAATTACAAGAAATTTAAACGATTTATTACAGCATACAGCTCTAAACGATGACGTCGAAACTGTTAATTTTAAGACTCCCTATTTTAAAAATATAGCTTTAAAAACATTTTGCACAGGTATTAATGAACCATATGCCGAATATTTGTCGCATTTTACAATAACTTCGCTTGAACAAGCGCTCCAAAAATGTATAGTTTATGACAATCATAAATCTCAACAGAGATATATGAATTATTTAAAGACGCAACAAAATAATAAACCATTTTTACCAAAACAAAAACCTGCTAATACAAACCAGACATTTTTTAACAATAATCCAAATCCCACAAGAAATGTTTTTCAACCAAACTCTAACTTTTATTCGAGACAACCAAACTTCAACTCTTATCAGAGACAACCAAACTCCAACTCTTATCAGAGACAACCAAACTTCAACCCTAACCCGAGACAAAACTTTTCTCAAGCCAATTCTAACTTAACATCAAGAAGCAATGCCCATCAGAACACAAATTTTGCTACTAGGCCAAACGCCAATGCAACTCCTAACTCTAATTTTAATTCTTTTAGAAATAATCCACAAAATAATAACAATTTCAATAGACAAATCCGAAATCCCCAACCTGAAAGATATCATGCTACCCCAATGACCAAGGTACAGACTATCGCCACAAGAAATGAACCCATGGATTTGGATACGTCCACTATTAGACGTACGCATCAATTTAATATTAATGCAAACTCAGATGAAAATTTCGAATACACACCTGAATATTTTGAAGTTAATGACAATGACTATCCCCAAGAATTAATTGAAGAAACTTCTCAGGATTTTCTCGAGGACCCAACAGACAAAAATCCTCCATTAATATCGATCTAAGTAATCTCCAAGCTAATCCAGGACTACCGTTCTTCATCTTACCTGATTCAAATATTAAAGTATTAATCGACACTGGTGGTACCCACACAGTTGTCTCACCAAAAGTTTTAATATTTTGACCCTTCATATATTTACGAAAAACCCTTCACACTGACGTCCATGAAAACAACCCAAAACTGTTTACTAAACATAAAAACACCTCTACTACAAGTCTATAATATTTACGAACCCATAAATGCTCGAATCGCTGATTGGAGCGAAGATTTTGACATTCTTTTAGGAAACTCTGAGCTTGAACGTTTTAAAGCCGTAATTAATTATAAAACTAAAATACTAAACTTAACCACTTACAATGTCGAAATTAATTTCCATACTTTATACAATAAAATACCCGTTGACATACAACAAGGACAAGTTTTTCTTCAGGCAACAGAAATTGCAAATTTACAAATACCTAAGTCAATCCACAATGTAAGTGACGGATTTTTAGAAAACATTACACTACAAAAACCTATGCAATTAGACACTTTACACGTCGAAACTCTTAGACAATTATGAAATTTCACCTCCCCGACCGAATTTAACGAACCAGCAATAAGAACAGAACACCTAAACGAAGAAGAAAGAAGAAAAATCATAAAACTTTGTAGAAAATACAAAGATATTTTTTACGATGATTCAAAGAATTTAACTTTTCACATCTGCTGTGAAACATGAAATAAAAACCAAGGACGAATCTCCTCAACCTCGATCTCGCTCAAGGCTTCCACCAAATAGAAGTTCACCCAAACTCTATTCACAAAACAGCATTTTCAGTACCCCACGGCCACTTCGAATTTTTACGAATGCCTTTTGGACTAAAGAATAGTCCTGCCACTTTCGAAAGATTAATGGACAACATCTTAAGACCCTTCCTACACAAAGTTTGCTTTGTTTATATGGATGACGTTATAGTCTTCTCAAAATCTTTACAAGATCACTTGGTCCACATCTACACAATTTTGGATACATTTCGAAAAAACAATCTCAAGGTACAACTAGATAAATCTGAATTTCTGACTAAAGAAGTTGCCTTCCTAGATCACATAGTTACTCCCGAAGGTATAAAACCGAACCCCAGTAGGATCGAAGCTATCCAAAAATACCCTCTACCCAAGACTGTCAAAGAAATAAAATCCTTTTTAGGCCTCATTGGCTTCTACAGACGTTTTTGTAAAAACTTCGCAAAAATCACCTCTACATTCACAAGATGCACACGAAACGATGCAATCATTGACCCCACTAATCCAGAATTTTTAGAATGTTTTGAAAAATGTAAACAGTTACTAACCAACGCCCCAATTCTCCAATATCCCGACTGTTCCAAACCATTTGTATAGACCACTGATACTAGTAATGTCGCTATTGGATCAGTGTTATCCCAGAATATACAGCACATCGCCTACTACTCTCGCACACTGAATACTGCAGAGCAGAACTACTCCACAATCGAAAAAGAATTGCTCGCCATGGTAGATTCTTGTAAACACTTCCGCCCATATCTTTATGGCCAACATTTTATCATTGAAACCGATCACAACCCACTCGTTTGGATTAATAAAATCAAAGACCCTTGGTCAAGATTATCTCGCCAAAGGATTAAACTTGAGGAATTTCAATTTGAAGTCCGATATAAAAAAGGAAAAGAAAATCAAGTAGCTGACGCTCTCGGCCGAGTTCAAATAAACGCCTTAAGCACTAGTTCAAACTCTGCTGAACCACCGGATATTAATGACCAATTTGACATAGATGAATTCTTAAGCGACTTTGACAAAAACCAAAACCCAACGGACGAAAACACGCAACACACCTCTGTCGAAAATCCCATAACAGGAATAGAAATATCAGAAGAACCAATCAATTTGGCATCCAACCAAATTATATTTGAACCTCACTCTGACGAATACAAAATGACTTATAAGAAATTTTTTAACAAACACTGTCATACAGTAACTATCACTGATGATTGGAAAAACGAATTACCAGAAACCTTCCAACACTTACTTAGGCCCAACCAAAAATTTGCTATAAAAATACCACACGAATGCCGACCATTCATATGTAATTATTTTAAAGAAAACATAAATTCAACAGTCAAAACAATATTTTGAAACAAACTATTACAAGACATCGAAGACGAGACACAACAGTTAGAATGTATCAGAAAATACCACATAACCATAATGGAATAGTAGAAACTTACAAGCATCTGAGACATAAATTTTACTGGCCCTCTATGCAAACTACAATCTCAAACTTTATCAACTCGTGTGAAATATGCTTACAAAACAAGTACGAAAGACACCCTTACAAACCGCCACAATTAGGACCACTTTTGGGACAAAAACCGTTCTACATATTACACATAGACGTATTTCATTGTAACAAAAATCTTTATCTGACCATTGTAGATTCATTTTCCAAGTACGCTCAATGTTATAAACTACCTGACAAAACCTCGATCTCTACTCTGAGTAAACTAAGACACTACTTCTCTCATCATAACTATCCCCAAAAAATTGTTTGCGACCTAGGCACAGAATTCAATTCTGCGGTCATTAAAGAATTCTTAAACCTTCATAAAATAGAAATACATTTCACTACTGCCAACAACTCATCTTCTAATTTACCCGTAGAACGCTTCCACTCCACACTTATAGAAAAACTTCGCACCCTGCGTGCCCAAAACCCTAACTATTCTCTAGATGACGTATTCACACATGCCGTCTTAATCTACAACCAATCTATTCACAGTGCTACCAACTATTCTCCTTTCTCAATCCTTTACGGTCCATACGCTGAAGAAATACACTTCGATTTCGACCTTCGCGTGTACGAAACATACAACCAAAACCACAAAGAGGAATTACAACCATTCATCCAAGAACTTTATAATAAACAAAAAGAAAAAAGACAACACGCTTTAGACAAACATAACCAAAACGCCGAAGAGATACCCGAAGTCGATATTTCACAACCTCTGTATGTATCTAAGAAAAAACATAAGTCCAAATTACAAGCCCCTTTCTTCACTATTCATCCAGAAACACAAGACAAAACAAAAATTATCGGTAAAACAGATAAACAAAATTTAACAAGTACTCACCTTAAATATGTAAAACGAATACGAAAACATGTAGACAAACCTACTCAAGACCCAAATTTTTCACAGGACAATCCTCGCCCTGGTCCATCCACTCAGTATTCAGGAGATTCCGAATAACGGTTACTTCGCCGAAGATATTGGCAAATCTCACGAAATTTCTCATTGCCAGACACTTTCTTCACATTGACTTTCCGCTTTCGACAATATACACTCAATACAAACATCTACAACAACAAGCACAAGATGACCTACATAAAATTACACGTAAAAGAACACAAAAAAGAGGACTTTTCAACTTTCTAGGTACAGCCATAAAATAAAACCCAGATGACTCAGATCTAGACCTTCTAAAAACTCATATTACCGCTCTAGAAATGAAACAAAACGAGATAATAAAAACGCTTAATAATCAGATCTCATATGGGCAAGCCAGCGATACGAGGTTCGAAAAACTCTTGATAAATTTAAATAAAAATAATGCTTTGCTTACGTCCACTATTAACAAGCTGTCAGCTGACCTTCAAAACATTTACGAATGTTTGATGAAATTAATCAGAACCATATCTTTATCTCATCTAGATATTTCCAATATTGAATTGTTTACATTAAAATAACTTGAAACTCTTAAAGCCGATCTCTTAAAAATTTATCCCAGAAATTCTTTATTAGTAAATGACGAACACCCATATGAATTAGTTGAACTTTCCAAAACATTAGTTTGTGTCACACAGCGAACCATGCTCATAATAATCAAAATTCCTATCCTCCACAACACATTTAAAATTTATCCGATCCCAAATGCAGACCATATTATGATTCTTCCACCAGCACATTATCATTCCAATAATAAATGGTTCGAGACCTGCACGAGACAAGCTGAGAACATCATATGCATAAAACCAGTAAGGTCCCAATGTACTATACCAAATGTCAAGAATTGCACTAAAAGTATAGCCAAAGAAAATTTCTTCCAAGAAACCAACAATGCGATACTATTGGGAATAGTAGAACCAATAAATATTAGAGAACAAACCATTAAATCCAGCAGCATCCTTACCACAAATGAATCCATTACCATTGATGGCATCAAATTCAACAAAAGGTCAAATCAAGAAATCCACATACCAAATATCATACCCATGGAACTTATTGCAAACCACGAAATAATAATCGAAAAATTGAGAATCCCAGAAACCCATGGACAAATTCAACCTATAGAGATGATCGCTAATTTACCGCAACTTTCCACTGGAGTCAGCATCACTGCACTAACAATCATCTTATTTGTGTCATGGATCCTAATAATATTCCTACTGAAGGAAAGAAAACGTATTTCCAAAATCCTTTTCGGACCTAAGCTAGATACAGCCCAAATCCAAATTTTAGAAGAACTAGTAGCAGAAGTATCAAGAACTTCGAGTCAAAGTCAAATCTCACCGAGGGAGAAGAAATGTAACCATTAGCTCCCAGACTATTAACATTATTGTTCATTGAACTTCAAGGAATAGCAAGCTCAGCAATTGCAAAACAACGGACAAAAAACTTGATTTTTCAATTTTGTATCATTCCATTATCATTCTCTGATCAATGCGTTTCATTTTTGTAATTAAGAATTTTTTTTTATTTAATTAATGGCTTTGGATAACTTGATCCATTCAGCAACGATAATGTATTTGACTACTTGAATTTGTTAATGATGTATTGACCTATTGCATTTGTTAACAAAATGGTACTTCGCATAGAGGTAAATTAAAAATATAATGTAAACATCAGTATCACAAGAATCAGTAGCTTGATAAAAAACCATACATTCATTCGTTCCATTCAATGCACTAACCAACAATATTTAGGAGCC